TAAAAAAATAAAAAAAATATTTACAAAAAAAAAAGATAAAATTTTTTATCTAAATAAAATATAGAAAAAATTTAAATAATTTATTTATACTAAAGATAAAAATAAAATAAAAAAACAATATTGACTCACAGTTTTTATTTCTTCGACAGTGCTTCTATTTGCTTGGATGAAATTATATAGATATTCTAAAATGAGAATTATATTAAAATAATTATTAAATTACTTCCCATGATTTAAATTATTTATGAAAAAATGACTACCAAAAAGGTTGTTATCATCTTTGCATAAGCTTAATGCGAATGTTTGTAATTTTTCATTTTCATTCTTCAAAGAATTCGTTTCTTCCTGAAATGCTACATGTTTTTTATGTATTTCATTTTGCAAGAAATCTGTTTTTTTCTCCAAGACGGAGCACCTTGTTTCCAAACGCTTTAATTTGATGACAATTGAATTCACTTTACCCTTAGTAAATTCAACATAACAACGTTTCCATGATATTTGCTTAGTAAATTCAACATAACAACGTGTTCATGATATTTGCTTAGTCAATTTCAATTTGATAGCTATTGAATTCACTTATACCTGTAGCAAATCCAACATAATTACATGTTTATTATATTGTTCAATGTCAAGTTTACTGTCGTTTAGCTGCCTTTGCAAAAATTCTTTCACCCAGACGACGTACTCGGATACTGCGCCTTTTATTTCATCTGGCGTTGAGTTTTTAGATTCGAGAACCGTTCGTAAATGATTTGGAACGGAATTTTTTCTTGGCATCTTGGTGATGTTTGATGATATTGATTTTTTTTTTGGGGGGTTAAGTTATTTGAGTTGAGCTTGATCACAACTTATATATATATGATTTTTTTGGTGATGTCATTTTTGATTTTACTTTATCAAAATTGCGGATCATAAACTATGATAAGCTTTTTTTTTTTTTTACGGAAATTGCCGTATATTTTCGTACAGCAGAGACAGTCAATATTACACATATATAAAACTGGTGCACCCAGAAAATGTGTACAGGGTTGGGATCGGAAAGATAGGCCGGAATGATAAGAACATTCGGAACTAGAACCAAAATTATGTATTTGCATCATGTTAAACATTACATCAAAGTTAATAACCGATATTTTTTTAGCATTAGCATAGTATAATATTTTTCGTTGGTCTTTTCTTTCTGAAGAAAAAGAGATGCAAAACTTTGTTAAAGACAAGTTTTCAAGCCAACCTGTGGTACTTCAGCAAATATTTCCATTAGCTTATAAGTATCAGGTTGCAAATTGCAATAACTAAGTGTGGAAACAAGCAATGTTCAGCCGTTAAAGAAGATATTGAAATTGCTTGTATTTTATTCATAATAATTCAAGATTGATTTCTTAACAGCATGGAATATTTCAAAAAAAGGGTATGAAAAATCTGAATATTTTAACGATGGGCAAGTTAGTGCCTTATCTATTTCAATAAGATTCCGATACAGTCGAAGTATGTCAAAAATTAGAGCTCTGCTGTATCCATTTTAAAAAAAAAATTCGTGTGCAGAAAGAAAATAATGATCCAAGATGAAGTATAATAAAAGATTAACCACAAAAAAAGTGCAGTCAACCCTTCCTATAAAGAAAATATTCCGAAAAAAAGTGCTTATAGAAAATTACTATAATTTATTTAAATACAATTATATCCAGAGTCGACTGTACATAATTTATTGAAGAACACAAAAAAACAAACTAAATTGTTAAATAATAAACTAAGCCAAATGATTAAACAGAAATAGTTATATTTTTAGAATGTCAACCTTCAAATTATTTGTATTATTTCTATGTTGTATATACATTATTATTTGCGTTAAATCTTGCTTTATATGATCGTTATTTAATGTCTTATCGTTAGAAAAAAAATTATCGAAGGGTTGATTTCCGGACCATCCGAACGATCATCCGATCCCAACCTGGTACACATTTTCTGGGTGCAAAACTGGTGAGGGATTATATCCATCACAATTGAATCCAACATAAATAATTTAATTTGTGATTGATCACAGGCGAGA